TAGGGTGAGTCACATCTCTCAATGATTTGACCTTCCAACATTTTTTTGATTTCTTGCTTTACTTCTTGCCTATACTTATAAGGAATTGGATAAGTCTTCGATCGAAAATTTCCCAAGTTTTTCACCTCAAATGAGTGCTCGTATTTTGTGGCCACTCGGTTTTCCTCATTTATCAGCGTTTCATAGTCTCTTAAAATTATACGCAAATCATTTTCTTTTCCTTCTCCACATATCAATTTTTTTTTCTCTTCCATCAAATTCTTCGCACATATTCACCGTGTACTCCGTGTCTTTTTCAAACACCACTGTCTCCATTGTGTCCTCTTCATTTTCCTTTGTTTTTTTTTCTGTTGGGCTCGTCTCTTCTTTTGAGGAATCCCATATGTTCTTTTCAACTGAATCCTTTTCCTTTTCTTTCATTTACTTTGTTTCTTCTTCTGTTGGGCTCGTCTCTTCTTTTGAGGAATCCCAAGTTTTGCTTTCATTTCTTGTCAAAATCTTTCCATCTTCTTCTCCTGAGCTCGTCTCATCTTTTGAGGAATCCCAGGTTTTTTTTTCTTTGATCTTTTTCTGACCTTTTCCCCTCTTTCTTCCTTTTCCTTTCTTCGTCACCAGGTTCATTTCCACCGTTTGTTCTTTCTCTGATTCGTCCGTAATTTGTTTCTCTTGTTCCTTATCCTGTTCTTCTTCTTTTTCCTTTGTTATTTTCATCGTATTGGTTTTGAAGTCGATCACTACATGTTTTTCCGTTAATTCGTCAACGCCTACAATCATGTCATGTGACATATTCGGCATTATTACACATTGAAGTGCATACATATTTTTTTTCAATCGTACCATTACTCGTATACCTTCATTTATTGTTGCCAATGTCCGTTTATTTGCGCCCACTAAATTCACCCTAGGTATTTTATAAATTAGACTTGTTAAATTTACTTCTTCGATTAATTTTCTGTTGACCAGTGTTATTTCAGAGCCTGTGTCTATCATAATTTTAATTGGTTTCTCATTTATAAATCCATCCACAAATTTTAAATTAACTCCATTTCTCTTTTCATTGTTTCCTGCCAGTTTAATAAATTCCTTGGGGTGACAAAAAATTCCTGTTTGTTTCTTCGTTTTTAGTGAGCGCCTTCTTGAAAACACGCCTGTTGTTCTTCTGTGTTTTCTCGCCCGTCATCTTCTCTCTCATATTCATTTTCTTCTCTTTGCATATTATTTATTTCTCTTCTGTTCTCTTTTGGTCTATCATTCCCGTATCGGTTACCGCGAGATTCCTGGTCATTCCGTGGGTTATTGTATCTGTTTCCTTGGTATGGGCGGTTATTTCTACTCTGATTTTCCCGATCCCTGTTTTCATTCCATCTCTGGGTTCTGGGTTCATAATTCTCTCTTCCGTTCGGTCTATTTTCGTATCCCCGTCTAGGTATGAATTCTCGTCTTGTATAATCTCTTCTAAAATTTTGACCTCTATCTCTATATTCTTGGTTTTCTCTTTGTCTATAATTTTCTTGCGGTCTTCTTTCTCTTCTTTCATGCCTACGTGATTCTCTCATTTGCAAAAATTGACATTAGCTGTCAATGTCCTTGTAATTTTGGAGATTTATGTGGTTTTCCAAGGTATCTTCAAAGTGTCGCGATATCAACTCTACCAATTGTTCTGATGAATAATTATATTGCTATTTAATTGCGTGATATATTTGGCTCAAGTTACTTATGTCAGTTCTCTTATTGAGAGCATTTAGGTTTTTAAGAATTGAACACATTTCCAAAAACTGTCTTTTGACGAGATTGCGTTCAGTGACAAGAATCTTAACTTCAATAAAATCCACCTTATGTTTAGTATTGATGGCATGTTGGGCTAAAGCACGAGTGTGCTTTGATAAATTAATATCACTACGATGTGTAGTAAGACGCACTCTTAATGATCTCACAGTCTGACCGATATAACATGAGTCACACTTAGCACAAGGTATATGATAAATGGTATTCACTTGTTCCAAAAGGGACAAGGGTGTTTTAGTTTTTGAAAACAGATTTCTAACAGTCTTAGCATTCTTGACAGCAATTTGACAGGTATGTTATTCTGTTTATACAATTTAATAAGTTTCTCAGTAACTTGAGGAAAATAAGGTAAAGATGAGTAATGGGTGGTAGTATTCCCAAGATCAGTATCAGGCAGAACAATGCTATTAATTGAATTGTTTGATATTATTCTAAGTTGGTCACCATTGGGTATGTCATCAAAAGAGGAGCGATAGCTTTGTGAATAAAGGTATTTATTAATGAGAGAGGAAGGATATGAATTCTCAATCAGAATATTTCTTAGTAATTTAAAGGATTCCCTTCGATCAATCGGATGTGTCAATCTATTTAGCCGACAGCTTAGAGCTTTAATAAGGTTTAATTTATATTTAAAATGATGACAGGAATGGTAGTTAAGGAACCTATTGGAGTCCATCGGTTTCCTATACCAACTTGTGGTTAGGGTGTTGTCTCCCATTCTAATGACACGCATGTCTAAAAAGGGAATACTATTACTGACGGGGTCATCAAGTTCAACAGTGAACTGTAAATGAGGATCAAACTCATTAAACATAGACAAGGAGACCTGAACCTTGTCTGGAGGTAAGGCTAATAATAAATCATCCACATACCGTTTAATAAAAGGAATTTGAAAATCTAAAAGACCCAAACGGTCAGATACCAAATCATCCAGTACAAAGTTAACTAGGATGGGAGGGATTGAGGAACCCATAGGTGTGCAAAATATTTGGAGATAATATTTGTCATCAAAGACCAAGAAATTAGTGTCGAAAACTAGTTGCAACAGTTCTGCAAATACATTCCAAGAAACAGGACAGTTAGGTTGAGTGGAGTCCCAATAATTTCTCAAGGAGGTGATAACGCTGGAAAGAGGTAAGTTGGTGAAGAGAGACACCACATCAAAACTCACTAAAATGTAACCACCCATTACTCATCTTTACCTTATTTTCCTCAAGTTACTGAGAAACTTATTAAACTGTACAAACAGAATAACATACCTGTTAAAATTGCTGTCAATAATGCTAAGACTGTTAGAAATTTGTTTTCAAGAACTAAAACACCCTTGTCCCTTTTGGAACGAGTTAATACCATTTATCATATACCTTGTGCTGAGTGTGATTTATGTTATATCGGTCAGACTGGGAGATCATTAAGAGGGCGTGTTACTACACATCTTAGTGATATTAACCTATCTAAACACACTTGCGCTTTAGCTCAACATGCCATCAGTACTAAACATAAGGTAGATTTTAATGAAGTTAAGATTCTTGGAACTGAACGCAATCTCGTCAAAAGACAGTTTTTGGAAATGTGTTCAATTCTCAAATACCCAAATGCTCTCAATAAGAGAACAGACATAAGTAACTTGAGCCAAATATATCATGCGTTAATATTGCAGAGTTAGGCTTAATAAGCTATTTACGTTATAATTGTCTTTTTAGGTGTACAGTTTAACACATTTGCTTATCAAATAATTTAAAATACTATTAACATATAAAATAAATTCATAACATAAATAAAATAAATTAACTTCTTACTTAATTCGTCTAGACTTATGCAACTTACATTACACATATACATAGATTTGTAATAATTGTTTTTAAATTAAATACTTTAAAACATAAATTAAATTGATTCATAGAATCTCTTATCATTTACAGTTCCAAGTACCAAGTTTATGCAACATCTCGAATTAAAATAGGCAACACCCTATCACCTGGATTTACTGTGACGAAAGGATTACGTCAAGGTTGCTACATGTCTCCACACTATTTAAAACACTATTTAAAATATATTTATAATGGTAAACGCATTACACACTTGCAAAAGAAAGTACTATGGTATGGAAATATAATTGAATAGTAAAGTTTGTTTAGCAGAAAATGGTTGACTTAAATTAGTGCGGTCGTAAATATTATTAAATTTATCTGACTTGGCCCATTGTTAAGACCGGTCCGGAGCGATATGCAAAAGAGGTAGACAAAGTTGGTCTTTTAAGTACTACAAAGTAATTTACATTCCTTTATCAAGAACTCATATTTATCAGTACAGTTTCGTCAATATAAGCCTTATCTGTAATAATATTATAAAGAGTTTGGATTGTACGCAATTAAATCAACATTAAGAAATGAAGATTAACCAATTTTACCAGAAAACTTAAATTTAAATTTAAATTTTACCTGAAACTAGGCCTTTTATACTATTATCGGTTAACCTAGGATGTTTATAGTCGGTACTAATTGAAGTCAACCATTTACTGCTAAACAAACTTTACCTGCGTCTGAGCTACATATTAACCAAAAAAGATATATACCTTTACCTTGTGGAAGATAAAAAAGATTTACTTTGAAGTATATATTAGTTGTACAGAGGGTTGTCATAAATAAAAATTAGAAAACAATAAACTACTGATACAAAAAAGACCTTCAAATATTATATATTAGATAAAAAGTGTAAACATATAATATAAAATCAGTTGTTAGAGACTTATTAAGTCATCAACAAATAGATTATATACAACTAAAAAGGCTATAGAAAAAGCTACGTTCTAGTTTGTAATTTCTTCTAAGAGACGATATGTTAAGTGAGGAGGAAAAATAACAATATTAAATTGATAAATTTCATAAATGAAATTGAAGTAAGTAGGATATGAGAAAAATGAGAGACAGACAAGAAATATTGTTCATTCAAGAACACAAAATGTAGTATGGGAAGACCAACAAAACGGTCAAAAATCAAAATAAATAAACCAAATTTTCTACATATTGAGATTATACAAAATAATGTTCTAATGGTTCATTAATTGAACTACAGTGTATAGTTTTTATTGCTTCCCATACTCTAGAGAAGACTACCAAACTACGATTAGTGGAATGTAAAAAAAGCTATAAAAATGTAAATTGTATTAATATTACCATTAGATTTTATAATTTAATAATAAAAAAATATATATCTTACGGGTGTTGCAAAGTCTTGTAATTATTCAGAGGACCTGTAAGCCGTAAACATAAATTTCTAGTCCACCTTAAAATACCAGCAACTGGAGGCATATATTTGTCTAAAACAAAGTGGCCAGTTTTTTGCTTTGTTTGCATCTGTTCATCAAAAATTATCTAAAAGTCAAAAAAATTATTGGTAAATTAATTATCAACCTACATAGTACATATTTTCAAATTTCTAAAGAGGCAGTAAGAATAAAGACCGAAAAGATACGGCAAAAGTGATTTGTTATTAATTGACATTTAATATCTTTATTGTTCTATCTATCGTGTTTATTTAGTTTAAGAGCATTTATTAGGAAAATATAAAAAGGTGATTTGTTGGCAATTCCCATACTTTTATTTAATTATGTAATTTATATATTAACTGAGAAAGCAACAAAAATATTGGGGAAAACCAAACCAGTTAAAGAAAACGAATGGTTTGACAAGGAGTGCCAAGAAGCAACAGATAACAAAAACAGGGCATACCTAAAGACAAATCAAGCTGGATGCACAAGAAGAGCAAAGGAAGAATACCGGACACTAAGAAGAGAAGAAAAACGATTACATAGAAGAAAAAAAAAGACAATTTGAGCAAAAGCAGTTGGAAAGCACAGAATGGCTAAGAAATCAAAATGAAACTCGAAAGTTCTACAGAAATCTAAACAAAATGCGCAAAGAGTTTAAGCCAAGAATAAGGAGCTGTAAGGATGTAGAAGGAAACATCCTAAATGATACAGCCTCAATCCTAAACAGATGGGTTGAAATTTTTCGATGCAAAATTTAATGGCCATCATATCGAAGAAGCAGATAACACCCTAGCAAATCGAAATGATTGGAATCCTTTCAACCCAAACGAAAGACCACTACCATCGAAAACGTTGCCCAAGCCATTAAAAAGCTTAAAAATAATAAATCACCAGGAGTTGATCAAATTTGCAGTGAGCTCTACAAGAATGGTGGCGATGCCCTACTACAGACACTGCATAAGCTTTTACTTCTTGTTTGGCATAATGAGACCATGCCTTGTGAATGGTCTCAAGGCGTGATATGCCCGTTACATAAAAAAGGTGACCAGCTCCAGTGTGACAACTATAGAGGTATAACCCTGTTAACAACTGCTTACAAAATACTAGCAAATATTCTCTACGAAAGGTTGCAAGTTTACACAGTGGGCATAATTGGTAAATATCAAGTTGGATTCACTCCAGAAAAATCAACAATTGACCAGATTCATTCAATAAGACAGATTCTCGAGAAAACATTAGAATTCAATATTGAAACCCATCACCTATTCGTCGACTTCAAGGCCGCATACGACAGTGTCAAGAGAACAGTGCTATACCAATCAATGCATGAGTTTGGTATACCAGAGAAACTTATCCGACTAACGAGAATGACAATGTCTAACTTAGAAGCCACTGTTAGAATACAGGGAGAGAGTTCTAGATCCTTTGAGATAAAGGATGGACTCAGACAAGGAGATGCTCTGGCTTGCCTCCTATTTAATATTGCCTTAGAAAAGGCAGTCCGAGATACACGAATTAGGGATGGCGGTACTATTTACAATAGATCGATACAAGTCTTAGCATATGCTGATGACATTGACATAGTAGGGCGTAGCAAGCGAGATGATTGAGCAATATCTCCTAGAATTGGAAACAGCGGCGAAACAGGTCGGTCTAGTCATCAACGAAGACAAAACCAAGTACATGTTGGTTACAAAGGATCCGATAGCAAATGAGGAACGAGAAACAGTCTTTGGAAGTCATACCTTTGGACGTGTTGACAACTTCACATACCTTGGGTCGCTATTGACTGCTACCAATAAAACAAGCGAAGAAATCAAAAGACGAATAAATCTTACAAATAAGGCATACTATGGACTCCAAAAGCATTTCCACTCAAGAAACATTCAAAGAAAAACTAAAATTATTATATACAAAACATTGCTGAGGCCGGTCCTCACATATGGAGCAGAAACATGGACTCTAACGCAGAAAGATGAAAGACTTTTGGGAATATTTGAGCGTAAAATACTCCGCAAAATATTTGGAGCTGTAAACGACCAAGGGCAGTGGCGCAGAAGATATAATTTTGAATTGTATCAGCTCTTTGATGAGCCAGAGTTATCGTTCATAAACGTTAACATTAAAACACAGCGACTTAGATGGGCTGGACACATAATACGAATGCCAGAAAATACCATTGCTAAAAAGCTAACCACAGGAACACCTGTAGGAAAAAGAAGTAAAGGCCGACCGCGAATTAGGTGGTTAGATGGAGTAGAAACCGACTTACGAATATTAAAAATCAGAAGATGGCAACATGTTGCCAAAAAGCGAACAGAATGGCGACGAATCTTAGAGCAGGCCAAGATCCACAGAGGATTGTCGAGCCAAAGATGATGATGAATTTATATATTAAAGATATTGCTACCGGAAGTCACTTTTTATTACTCTATTAGAAATTCCCTACACTGTTACTCAGCTTCAATTATGCAACCTTAGTATCTTATCCTTCGAGATTTGTATTTATTTTATATCTACTAAATGTAGGAAAATACAATTTTACGAACATTTTGTTTAATATCTAAACCAGCAATATTACCTTTCTCCAAACAGATGAATGAAATAACAGAATGAAAACAGAAATAGATGAATAAAAGTGAAATAAACGTAAATTAAATGGCTAAAAGAATATTGATTCTCAAATCCTTACCTCTACCATTTTGATTTCACTTTCTAACATGTCCAAAATTTTTTCATATTGATTTGTAAATTCTTCTTTTATTATTGGTCTTTCCAGAACTGATCCAGCAATGTTAATTAACTTGAAAATAAATAATAAATTAATATAAACATAAGATTTTTTAAAAATTACCAGTTGAAGTAATTAAAAATTTTGTAGTTGAAATTTTTGTTGCAAAGAAAACATTGTTTAATATTGTCCACTTTTTACGACATTTACATTAGACCAGGAAGTCTGGAGGGAAATCAAATAGACCATGTGCTGATTAAAAATAGACACAAAAAATCGATAAATGATATTAGATCTCACAGAGGGGCCCAACATGGATTCGGACTATATGCTAGTAATTACAAAATGTAAAATAAAACCAACGAAGAATAAAAGACAAAAAGCACAAAGTAAATGTGACGTAGATTAATTAAAAGAGAAAGAAGTAAGAAGTAGATTTGTACAAGAAGTAAATACAGGCAAGAACTATATACCAAGAACAACAAATGAAGGAACAGTGGAAAAAATCAAACAAGGAATAAACAATGCAGCAGAAAAAATGGTTGGCAAAATGCAAAATAAAAAAAGAAATAATTGGTTTGACGATGAGTGCAAATTAGCAGTAAAAGAACAGAATAAAGCAAGATTGAAATGGTTGAGCACAAGCAAACAAGAGGAACGAGAAAGATACAAAGATCAAAGACAAAAAACAAAGAAAGTATTTAAATAAAAAAAAAGAACTGAAAATAACGACATATAAACAGAAAATAAAAGACAGAACTCAAAACTATTGTACCAATGCCTAAAACTAGGAAACCGAAAACGGACAGCTAATATAGCTATAGGAGCAGAAAAATATTAGAAGCATTAGTCAGTAGTATATTAAGAAACGGATACAGAAGAAGAAAGAAAAACAATAACAAACATGGAACAAGATGAAGAAGAAGAATTGGCATATACAGAAGTGAAAGACAAAATATGCAATCTTCAAAACCGGAAAACAGCGGGAGAAAAAGGAATAGGTACAGAACTTAAAAAATACGGTGGAGATGCACTATACAGACAGATCTATGAGCTGATACATAATATGTGGAGCAAATAAATAAGGCCCGAAGATTGGAAGAAGGGAATTTTAGCGACAATCCCAAAACAAGGAGACCATAGAATATGCAAAAACTACCGAGCAATTAATTGACTAAATGTACCATAGAAAGTAATGACTGGTATACTAATGGTTATACTGTAACCTCAGAAACCTTTTTTGGATGGTGCTAGAAAGGTCACCAATGGAGACACTGCGGATGACAGCCACATGGTTGGGGGGAGAGCGAGTCGTGGGTTCGCAACTAGCTTTTGGAATCGGAAATGGGTCCAACAGTAGAAATAAGTAGGGATAGGACAAGATAAGATATATTAGAAAAGATACAGAAAGAAACAAAAAGATAGATGGGTAAAATTACCAAAGGTACGATAAGATAGAAACAGGGCGCCACTCAATTTTTTGGGGTTAAGGAGAAAATTAAGAAACCTTAGAAAAGAAAAGAGATAAGGAAAAATATTTAGGTTTAGAGATCAAACCCAAGGAAAGATACCAACAGTTAATTATCAAATAAATTTGGTCAACACATTATATAATAAATATATTAGGTATTACACTTAATTACTTACGAAACTTAATCAGCCTGATCTTTCTACTGTTCAAAGGTATAGTAATATTTAAAGGTAAAAAGCAAATACTCAGAGTTACTATTTTATCAGGGAACTTGTTAGTAGCCGACAAATAAAATACATACATAAAACAATAACAATATATTCAACAACAAAATTATGACGCTGCTGAATGCAACACAAGTAGTAAAAGTATACCAACAACTATAAAATGGTGGTATACATATAAAAATAAGCAGTAATATAATTAGAAAATACCTTTACAAAGATAATATAATACCATCATGTACAAATAAAGTTTTGGCGTATCTCGAGATATTACAGCAAAAAAATGAATAAAAGTTATAACCAACACAAAAGGTAACAAAAATTAATCAATTCTAAATTTACAAAAATACAAAAAGGTTACAGAAATGAAAACATAAGAATTTAACCAAACCGCACTTGGTTAAGTGGATTAACTATCTCGCGCTATTATTTAATGAGAAACTGAGACTAAAATGTTTATAATTATTACTTATTGAAATTTCTTGAATCTATTGAAGTGTTCTTTAAATTGAATGCAAAAAATCAGCAATCTACAGGTGAAGACATGGAGGAACCTTAGATACGTCCAGATAATTGGAGATAATATGATACCATACCATATTATTTGCCCAGATAATTTGAAGATAATGATTACTTACAGTAATTCCTGACGACTGCTGCCTAATTCACTGAAGTTAAATACTGTACTTAATACTTTACTTGTATCAAACACTGAATTTAATTACCATTAAAGGTACTTTAGAACTATATATAATCTAATATAGTATCAGATCGAAAAGACTCAAATAAACAAGTGTATACACACTTAGAAAATAATTCACAGACGGTAAGATAACAAATAACGTGAGCAAAGCGTCTCACGAGAAATCACCCTTACTCCACAACGGCCCACCAAGAAGTAAGTTGGTTTTTCTAAAATTTTACAAACTACCCAAGAAAAAAAAGGGGATATCTCCCACTTAGAAATCATAGGCCAGTTGTATGTAGTTCTGAGAAGGTAAAAATATTCTAATGGACATTGAAAAGTTTGAGGTATTTACGGTAGGTACTAGTAATCGGACGTGATCAAATATACAATCCTTTGGATTAGGTTATTGTCAAAATATTACTATACGTGCCTTCGACGAAAACTACCAATTTTGAAAAAGAATCCGCATACCGAAAAGCATTAGTTTCTTTCATACTAAGGATTAAGACAGAAAGGATTAACAACCTCTCGTACTCGTTAAAACTAATTTCTACGGGAAATTCCGTGCCATTTTGGTAGGTAAATTCTTCCGTCATAACATTTCTAATCGTACATACGAGCATCGGCGTACCATCACGGGGGTAAAAGGAATAAAAATAATTAGTATTATAATTATATAAAAAAATGTTACAATACTGATCTACTGTTAGAGACAGACTAACAATATATACAGAACAAAGCATAGGAGATTACCAGAAGATTACCACTAGAAAAGGAAGATCTACGATAGAAGCTATAGGTACATACGCGAAAACAAGTGATAGATAAACATACTAGAGAAACACATATACTTTTCCTAGAACAGACATTTGACAAAATAAACAGAAGAAAAATTATCAAAGACTTACAAGAGTAATATACCAGATAAAATTAAAAGAATGTTATAAATGAGAATGGGAGATTCCCAAGCAACAATAGACACCGGAAGAGAAAGAAAGAAAAATAAAAAAAAATGAAGTAAGACAAGGAGATGCGCTCTCAACAGTACTATTTAATCTATTACTAGATAAGATAATAAAAAATCTGTCAAACACATGAACTATAAATAAGAATGCAGTTCAAATAATAGGATATGCGGACGATATAAAAATAATAGCAACAGATAAAATACATGAACGTAAAAAAAGAAGACACAAATGGCAGAACTGACAATAAATGCACACAGTTTCGAAGAGGTTGAAACATTCAAATCACGAAATACAATAATTTATACGTTTTTAAATCATCAAATCATACATAAAGTTTTTTTTTTGTTTATTTTAAACATTTTTCTTCATTATTATTTTTGTGAACGACAGAAAAATTCTTTACTCGTACTGTTTTCTAAAAAATAAAAATAAATTTACATTACTTTATAAAAAATATCCTACCTTGAATATGCTTTCCAAATTAGAACAGTCATCAAATGCTTGACAAAGAATTGCCACCAATTTCATATCCATTTCAAATATTCTATGTGTAAAATCTTCGAAATCAGCTATGAACGATGGATCGTCTGGATCAAGTACATCATACGATTTTCCGGAAAAAATCATAAAACTTTGTTGAAACTCATGAAAAACTTCCGTTACTCTTGAACTTAATATTCTTCCCTTAATTCCACCTATTTCAACCTTCTCCAGTTTATTAAATTCCAATACAGTATTAAAGAACCATTGAATGGTTTTTAGTCTTTCTAGAAACGCGTAAAATCTTTCGAATACCAAATTCGGATGAAAATTCCATGGTTCTTGTCTTCCATTAGGAAAGTATGTCGTCAAATTGCGTTTGTATCTTTTAAAAATAGATATAAACTGCTTTAGCGCTTTAACACAGTAACTTACTCTTTGCATTGCTTCGTCTATATCACTATGAAAAAGGGTAGTTGGATCCAAAAATTTTTTTGCCTAAAAATATGTTAACATTTGAGATAAAAGAAATAACTTGTTAATTATTAAATTAGTTCTTTACTTATCCTGCATAGTGCGTATAATATTTTTATAAAGTAACCGAAAAACCAACATATTTTTTAACAAAAACAATGCAATTGGGAAGAATATAATTTCCGAAAATAGTTCCTTGTCGATAGTAGAGATTAGCAGATTATTATGTCTATGAGATGGTAACAACGTAAAATGACATGAATCAGTTTTTAATAAGATGTGTAGAAATTATGCGCCAATTAACCTTTCGTCGGTCGCCACTTACTCTTGTATAAAAGCTGTCGCAATGTAACAAAATGATATATTTAAATTTGACTTAAAATTACCGTAACAGCAATATCATATGTAATAGATTTCATCCAATAACACAGGCCTACTTTTTTTTTTCATAAAAAAGTGTTTTAAGTTTAATAGGTGTCCTATAGTAAATGGGATATGCTGATCACGAATCTGTACTTAGTTTTTTTTAGCACGTCAGATTTTTAAGAAAAGTGTGTTTCAAATTTTTTATAGAAACTGTCAAAAATACTGGGAAAATATTTATTGAGGCAATTTTATTTAATACAACATTACATTGCAAAATTGAGTTTTTCCGATAAAAAGGAATTCAGTGTAACCTACGTTAAACAATATTTGGTTTTTTTGAATAAACTCGTTCTCTCTTTCCATGAGACCTGCGTTTTGTGGTCTTTTTTTATGGATTTTTGTGATCGAGTGTTTCTTTAAGGGCCAGCAGTAAGCAGCCATCATTCTTATATCCCATCTTCCTTGGTAACGTCTCTCCACTTTCTTTATATCTTGATGGAATCTCACTCTCTGCAGTTTTTTATAATTTTCGACCATGTTAGCTACAATTTCTTTATAGTCTGAAGACTTTTACGTCACCTTGGTTTAAAGTTGTAGCGTTTTAAATTTGTTAATATTTAATATCTATATAATATATTAAATTCTGTTTAAAATTTTTGTAGTACGCCTTTGAGTTTGTTTTTCTCGTAATACGCATTAAAGACGTGTTAACGCTGGGAATATGTTTTGTCTTTATTTACATTCAAAATCCCCCATTTCGTACGTGTTATTTCTAAATATTTTAAAGTAAAATATTTCAAGTTTTTTTGACAATATAGGCAAAATATAGTTGTTTTTGTCGTTGAAAACGATTTGTTTACATTCAGATACCCGTAATATTCCGGTTGGAAAAGAGGTTCTTAGAAAGAATATTGCAAGACAGGTCTTCCATTTTTCTACAACGCAATAAAGCTGGGAATATTTCAAGGTTGTTACGAACAGACAGTTGTCAAAGGTAATATGTTTGTTTTAAGTTCGTAGACCACAAACTGGCTGCGAGACGTAAGGGGATTTATTTTGGCGTTGAATTTGTAAAACGGAACGCAGATAGAGAGTGTAGCAAGAGAATTCGAACGAGAAAGACGTTTGGCGGATTTTGAATCCTCAGCCGATTTTTTGTGTAATGTCTTAAATTCAACACCGGTGAAAGGTTGGATTTACTCTTTGCGAAAATGGCATGTTGTGACAGAGTAACAACCACAAGATTTGTGCAGTACATCGAAACTGATGGAATTTTGAAAAGGAATATATAGGTTGTCCCACCGGCTTCGTTGTGTTGTCGTCTACTTGCTTCTCCACTAAACCTGACTTACGTCTTAGATATTCGTTCCTGAGTATGGAAATGGTTTCCTTTGTTCCAGTTTGAGAATTTGTCCAAGTAGCTTTTCCAGAGATGTAGCAAGTTTCAAAGTTAAGTGTAAAAGTTTGTGGATTGAGGTAACATTTAATATATTAATTTTTCATTATTTTGAATAATTACTTTCATTAAAAATTAAAAGAATTTTTAATAATTAAAATTTTATATTATGTTAGAGACGTGGCCAAAAAATGTCATAATTTATTCTGTCTTAAAATGTTATGTTGACATATGACATTTTGGCTTAAATCTGCTGTTGTTGTAAAACAATTTTAATTTGATTATTATTTAGAAAAGATATTTCAGATATAAGGTTAAATTTTACGATATTTTCATAAACAAGGATATCCTTAATTTTTAGTAATCTTATTTGGCCATATTAATAAATAACCTAGAAACCATTTCAAAAATTTTTGTAGCAATCTTCTTTTGTAAACAGATAAACATGTAAGTTTTTGTTAATTTTGTATTATATATAGTATATAAGTATGTAACATACTATATAGGTTATATAGTATGTTTTTGTGCAATCTGTATTTTTGATAACTGTTTGTTTGAGTCAAAAATAAACGTTGGATTTGTTGCTCTGATCCATTTTTTCGTATTAATTTAGAAAAGTCTCCTAACCCTTGTATGTATTCTTGATTTTAGGGAAGAAGAAATTTTTTTCTTTCAGCAGAATGTTTTCTTCGAAGTGGCGTCCGAATAGAAATAGCTAGAGGTAACCTTGTCTGCCATATTTTGTTTCGTTTTTGATCCAGGAGATTTAAGTAAGTATCCCTTTGTTTTTATTTTGTGGATACCCCAATCCGACCCATTTATTTCAACTTATCCACGACCCAGCTCTCCAACAACCTCCTGATTGTCGTACGCACCAGTTTCGATTATTTTGTTTGTCCAATCTTCTACCCCCCATGTTCTTACCCTGGCGTAAGCAAAATATATCGTTACAAAGCTTTGACAAACTGCTTCATCAATCCTAAGTTTAGTGAAGAGGAGGCAAAAGAACTAATTTTGGGTAAACTAGTGTATCAAATTGCACATTTTTTTGCCTCGGTACAAGTCTTTCTCTGAGTGGCCACTCTTTCTTAACGCAATGCAAATTTCATGCTCGACTATCCTACTCACACAAAAAACATTTATACTTTGTGAATCCAGACTGCTGACCCAAAAACATGGATATTTTTTTAGTTTTCCACAGAGTTGCCAACAATATCCGCTATACTCTTGAGATGTTTCTTATTTTATTAAGCAACAGCTCAAGATTCTCATATGTTTCTTTAGGCAACAAGCACTGAGCCATTGTGCAAAAAGACACCCTTCAGGCGTCTCTTAGAAGAATTAATAAATAACCGAAAATACACCAGTGAGCCCTCTTGGGAAAAATATTCCGCGAATTCTTTTTCAAGATGCCTATACCACGAAAATGTGGTACCTGGAGTCAATAGATTTTTGTCTTTCAGTCGTGATCCTAAGATTTGTGCAGCATACTTCGATAGGCCCAAGTCTCTCACTAAGTCATTTAGTTTAGCTTGGATAAACTTTTGAGGTTGGTCTATCTTAGGATTGAATTCGTATGTGAAGAAAAGGTGGAAAAATGGGGATTCCTGGTTCATGAAATACAGGTTGTTTAGCAGAAGATAAATCAGTATATTGGATTTTGTGTTTATTTTTTTAATTGAAAGCAAAAGTAGCAGTCGTCTCCATGGTTTTTTGGTTGCTTCTATACCATAGGATTGCCGACGGCTAAAGAGTTACATGTACCTTTTATCCATTTTCTCAGTAGTTCTACACACTGAAAGCATATTTTGTGTGGAGCCCAAGGTTTGTCTTGATCATCAAGCTTTACACCGAAGTAAGCGTGATAAGCTTTCTTTATAAAGTCTGTTATGTTTCGTTGATGCTTTCCTATTGTTAAATCACCACATACGTAATTAAATATATTAAGACTGTTGTTACACTTTCTTGATGACATTAAGGAGTGACAAAGACTCATAAAACAAAATACAACTCCTTGCTACAAACAACTGACGCTAGCTAAATCTAGACGCTAGCTAAATTGACGGCATCGGCAGTGTTGCCATTCAAATGAAATTAACATGATCTAATAAAACATTTTCTTTCGAAATATAAGTATTTTAAAGAAAGAATTTTAATGCAATTTACGAAATATCAATAAGGTATTTGTTTGCGCTAGTACATAATATCTCACAAGGATTTTTTAATTTTGTGAAAAATTTTGACGTGATGAGCTTAAACCCAATTCATATTCAGAATCAGCGTATGCGTATTAGCTAAGGATATATGTCAAACTCAAAACACCAAAAATCATGTCGTCTTGTGAATTCATTATATTCCTCCTTTTTTATTTGTAAAAATACACTATGACAACAAAAAAACTATTTGTGTATGTAAATCGCAAGACGTGACTTACGGGTAAAAAGCTATTGACAGCAACGGTCACAATATATCTGTTTGATACATGATTATAACATTTATTAACACGCAGATATATGTGGTGTTTTAGTTGTGTTTTTTATTATTTTTATAGTTTATTCTTTTTGTAGGATTTAAAACATTTATATATGATCAAAAAACAGTAACTTATATAGAAATATAACCTAAGTACTCGTATAAAATTATTTGATTTCTTACATTATAAATTGGTAAAAATAAAATTTTGTCTTTTTATATGACGCAAACATAAAATATATTATTTTCTTATAAACTTTTTAAACCAAAAAAAAAAACGTTCCATAAATAGGTTGTGCAAATCTTCTAACGACATCAGATGGTTTATTACTTTATTCATAGGGCCTCTGGGGTTGCTTTCCAGCATATATTTTCAGGCTATAACTATAAAAAGTAACTGCATTACACATAGCATAAATTTTTACTCCGTATTTAAATATCTTTGAAGGAATATATTGTTTGAACCTGCAGTGTCCCCGAAAAGCCTCCAGTTTTTTGTCAAAAGTTACACACTGTCCTAGTGAATAGCTATGTTTACAATTATGAACAAAATCGTCGAAGAGTTCACGAATCTGCGCAATGTCAACATCTTTTCTTTCAGGTCTTGTGATGCGGTCATCGAAATTCAGGCATCTCATAAAAACCTTGAACCTTCTGAGATTCATAACCAGTCGAAATATTTCCACGCCGTGTCCATCTGTACCCCAAAGATCTTCTAACATCATTTTGTTGGCGTGCAAAGTTACTGCTAGATATAAAAGGCCTATGAAGGTCTTGAGTTCCGTCATATCCGTGTCTGTTTCATCACGTTGTCCGTCAAAGCGATCCCTTACTTCAAAATAAATGTACCGGTTTGTGAACTTGACTGTTGTTTGTAGCATTTTATCAGAAAATATCTGATTGCAACATTCTATATGTAACTTAACTAGTCGTGCTTTATGTATTACTCCTGGGAGACGTGTAACCAGGTTATGTGGCTCACTGCGTTACTTCTTCGCGCACGGTGTTTTCATCCATCTAGTAGTTTTATCTTTGTCACGGTAAAATAAATTGTAGAGTGAATCTGGTTCTTGCTCTGTCCCACTCTCTTTAGTATCAGAGTCACTAACTCTTTCATCCTTTTGCTGATCTTTCGCATCTGTGTCCTATTCATCCTCGAAATCTTCCACTTGGTTATGGCATCTTCATTTTCGTTCTCTTGCGAGCAAAGTAAAACAACACTTACAAATTATGTCGCATTGTATCAATAGAACACAATACGCTTGTATGTAAACACAATCAATCACTAGGACGTTACCAATACGACTGAGCGGTAGACTAAACCGGTCTAGGAAGCTACTATGAAGGTGGGATCTCCTTACTTTAGGGTTCAAGGTTCAATAATAGCATTGAAAATTGGTGAGCTTGTATCATTTTGACACACATGCGACCGACGGAGTAATCTCATATAAATACAATATTTAAACCTGGGGGGATAAAAAATTCATGGAATAACAAAGTACGTAGATAGATATCACGATGAAATAAATTTCTAAATAAATAATTCAGTCATAAAAAAATAATGAAATAACGCCGCGGCTGGAATTGTGGAATTGCCCAACAGTTCACGGAGTTAGATTTCATTTTTGATAATGAGTCACCCTCTTCAAAAAATTTTGTTTTGATAACGTCAACTTAAGTAATTTTAAACCTGACTACGGGGTTATTATGACCTATTTGTTTGACTTACCTCTTGTATAAGCAAATTGCAGATTTGTTTTAATAGCGTTATCAACTTTGTCTGATCAATCGACTTACAGTTGGACCAAATTAGACAAATAACGTGAACTATTGGCGCCAGCAATGGAATGTTTTCACTAAAATCTGTTTCTTCAATTGACTGCACGTGCTTTTTTAGAGGTGTCAAATAAAGATTCATATCTTTAGCTTCGGAAAGGGCAATGACGGTATTCTTGAATAATAGTTTAAAACAACTAAAGTAAGCACTGTTTGTTTTTTCAAGTATTACAGCCATACTTTTTACTTTAGGTTCTCTAAGCTGTTGATAGATATATTCGAGATTTTTTAGTCGTTTATTCCAAAATTGCAATTCTAAAAAACATTTATTGAAATAAAAGTATAAAATGAAATGACAAATATGTTGGTCTGATAACTTACCTACTGTGGGTACAGGATTAACAACAGAAGGACATTTTTCAGAAGAATCATTTGCTAACACATCATTGATTTGAGCAGACCATTTAATTACAACTCCTTCTATAGCACTTTTTAGATATAAGTCGCAAATTTCGCCGTTACTTTCTATGAGAAGTTTTTCAACTTCAAATACTCTATCGACCCCTACAGGCATTGGTAGAACTGTTTGGCCATTAACTTGTCCTTTTACTTGATAAACCGTGCTTTTTAAACTATGAACGTGCTTGTGGACATCCTTAGCTATTACAGCTGGCCATCCTACGTGGTTTTGCGGATTTGACAGTAGAGGAACCAATATCTGAAAATGTAAGTCGTGTTACTTATAAAAGTAAAGTTATATTACTTTAACACATCACAGATTACAAACTAGAACGATTTTCGATCTGAAAAATTGCAACCTTTACTGTGGTCATAAAATAAAACCTAGAAATGCCTAATCGTCCCAATAATTTTTTTGGTTCAACCCATGTACAATTATAAGATTTGAACATAATAATTAAAACTTTTCTATATTGTTAAATTTAGGTCTACATAAACAAGTATCTGAAGTGAAGAAAGAATGGATGTCTGATGAGATAATGGATATGATGGATGAAAGACGTAAATTTAAGAATAAAAATGCAGAAAAATACCTGCAGATCCACAAAACCATAAGAACGAAAATTCGAGATGCCAAAGAAAAATGGTTTTCCAACGAATGCAGGGAAATAGAACAATACGAACGAAAATACGACAGTTACAATATGCACAAAAAAATAAAATCGATGACAAACAAGAGGAAATTCAATAAGTCACCCAACAGCATAAAAGATAGCGATGGAAATCTTATCTCGGAGCCATCAACGATCTTATAAATATGGAAATCATACATAGAAAAATTATTTGCATCTGACAGGACTGATGATCACCTATATGGAGAAGGAGAAACAGGACCTTCAATCCTTAAATCGGAGATAGAAGATGCTATTGCAGCACTAAAAAAAGTCAGCAGGTCCGGACAATGTACCCTGCGAAATATAAAAGATCCTGTGTAAATCAGACAAACAGTTCCTTGATGATCTAGTTGTACTTTTTAACAACATATATAATAGCGGTAAAATCCCGGAGAACTGGCTACAGTCAACATTTATTACAATCCCGAAGAAACCAAATGCCCAGATTTGTGATGACTACCGGCTTATAAGCTTGATCAATCATGTCACTAAATCACTAAGAATCACACGTTCACTAAGATCATTCATAGAAGAATATATGATAAATGTGAGTCAAATATTGATAGATCGCAGTTTGGTTTTCGGAAAGCACTTGGAACTAGAGAAGCAATTTTCGCTCTCCAGGTGCTTATACAGCGGTGTAGAGACGTTGATAAGGACGTGTATTTGTGCTTTGTAGATTTTAGAAAAGCATTTGACAATGTCAATCATGAACAATTCATAGGTATTCTGCGAAAGACAGGTATTGACGACAAGGACATTAGAATTGTGGCAAACCTATACTGGGGTCAAACAGCAAGAGCAAAAATTAGCAACGAACTCACTGAAAGCGTGCAGATCAAAAGAGGTGTCCGTCAGGGGTGTATATTTTTCCCACTCCTATTCAATATGTATTCCGAGGAAATATTTAACAAATGTATGGAAAATGCAAATGAGGGCATAAAAATAAACGGCGAGTTAACGAACAATATAAGATATGCCGACGACACGGTGATCCTTGCCAGTACCATAGACGAATTACAACAAGTAATGGAAAGACTTTATTCAGTTAGTGAGGAATACGGCCTGAGCCTCAACTTCAAGAAGACAAAGTGGATGCTGATAAGCAAAAAGCAACAACCTGCTCGACAATTACGGATAAGTAACATACTAATTGATCATGTAGAATCTTATGTGTACCTTGGCACCAACGTAAATGTAAAATGGGAACAGACCAAAGAAATTAAGGCGAGAATAGAACGAGCTAGAGAAGCATTTAGCAATATGAAAAAGCTCCTCATAAGCAAGGATTTGTCTCTTTCCCTAAAACGACGTCTAGTTAAATGCTACATTTTTCCGATCTTGCTGTATGGCGTGGAGGCCTGGACGCTGACGGAGATGCTAACGAGGAAACTAGAAGCATTTGAAATGTGGGTGTACCGACGCATTCTTCGTATATCCTGGACCGAACATGTCACCAACATAGAGGTACTCCAAAGAATCGGAAAGGAAAAAGAGATCGTGAATACAATTAAACAAAGAAAGCTTGAATATCTAGGCCACATATTGAGACACGATAAGTACCGTCTGCTACAATTGATTGTCCAGGGAAAAATAGACAGTAAGCGAGGGCCAGGCAGGAGAAGACACTCGTGGCTCCAAAATCTGCGGAAGTGGTTCGGGCTCACATCGGTCGAACTATTCAGAAGCGCCGCAAACAAGATCAAAATTGCCATGTTAATAGCCAACGTTCGCAACGGACAGGGCACTTGAAGAAGAAGAAGAAGATAAACAAGTGTACAAAATGTCCTCCGTTATTAATTCACAGTATTCTAAACGATGGTGAAATGCATTTATTACATTTCTTCATGTTTTTCTAGAAATTAATATGGATTCATCAATAATTCTTTGCCTTAACTCTTCAACACTTATTGTTTTAGTTTTATAAATTCTACTGTATAAGCATCCCCAACAAAAATATTTTTTAGGTTTCAAATTGGGTGGCCATTCAATACAATTTATTATGCTAATCCATCGTTCAGGAAATCTCTGATGTAAATAAATGATATCTCATTAAAATTTACTACAAATTTGTTTTTCATGGCAGGTACAATTACATTTCTGTCCGAGAGAAAGATTATGGTGGAAAAGGCACGATCGTGGACGTGACGGCCGGGGTACCCCAGGGATCTGTCTTGGGCCCGAAGCTATGGAATCTGGCATATGACGGGGTTATGCACTGTGAATACGGAGAGGGTACAACCCCCTTCGCATTCGCGGATGACCTCGCTGTACTGGTAGTAGCCCGGGATGAGCCAGATCTCAAATACCGGGTTCGAAACGCAGGTGGCGTCGTAAAGAAATGGATGACGCAGCACGGACTAAAACTTGCGACAGAGAAAACCGAATCCATTATTCTGAAGGGGACAAGGAACAGGCAAGGTGTTGAATTAAAATGTGCGGGGGTATGTCTAACACCCAAGACACAAGTAAAATATCTAGGAGTGACATTGCACCAGAATGGAAAATGGGGGGAACACGTTCGGGAGGTGGTCCGAAAGGCTGCGAATAGTGCGGCTGCGTTGGGGAGAGTGATGCCAAACATTGGAGGACCCAAATCCGAAAGGAGGAGGGCCTTACACGGTGTTGTACAGTCTATCGTTCTCTACGCAGCACCAGTCTGGAGCGAGGCGGTAGAGATAACGGCCTATAGGAGTCTTATGAAACGAGTAGACAGAACAAGTCTGTTGCGAGTGGCATGCGCCTACAGGACTGTGTCTGCGGCAGCCTTATGGACCATCACTGGATGTGTTCCGTTGCATATTTTGGCGGTGGAAAGAAAAGAGCTTTATGAGAGAAGAGGCCCAAACCTTACTGTGGCTGAGAAAAGACAGGTAAGGGAAAGGTCAGTTGAAAGATGGCAAGAAGAATGGAACAATACGGAGGATGTGGGACAGTGGACGAAAATTCTGATCCCTAACATAAGAGTTTGGGTGGACTGTGACCACAGGCGATTGGATTATTTCCTGACGCAGGTGCTCACAGGACACGGGTGCTTTAGGGCCTACCTTTATAGGATCGGTAAGGCTGATACAGATGAATGCCTGTATTGTGGATACTCGGACACTGTGACACATACGATGTTAGATTGCAGCAGATGGATAGTGGAAAGGAACAGAATGGAGAGAGAGACAGGTGTGAATTTTGTTACAGTGAGAGAAATGATTGAGAGAATGATTGAAAATAAATTAGGTTGGATTAACATACACAGTTATATCCGTGCAGTGATCAAAAAAAAGGAAGAGGAAGAAAGACAGCTGGTCCAACTTCAAAGGTAGAGTGAATGATGCTGAAAGGTGAAGTGGGTCACACTTTTTGAGTTAGAATGCGTGAGTTTGACTGTGGGAAAGGAGGAAATATCCTTCTGAGAATGATGCCGAACTAGGAGTGTGAATGTGTATGAATGTAGAATGAATAAATAAAGGTAGTGCTTCGGAAGTGATGCCGGCCTTACAGCGACCATTCCGCTTCCGGATCGCTGGATGACAGAGGAGGGTCTGGTTTAGCAGGTAGGCGTTCGGCGTGACTCGGCGACGAGAGGGCATTTTAAAGTACCTCGGGAACTATCGCCGGGAGTACGAAGAACGAATCCTGCATTAAGGTTAGTCAGGCGGCGTCCTGGACTGAGATGTCTTTTGAAGATTCCAGACCCCCCCCCCCTCTATAAAGACGAAAAAAAAAGCATTTTATAAATATCTTATTAAATTTTCTTTTATTTATTCTAATCTAATCTTCCCTAGACTTAATAAAAACCACGTCAACGCAAATGGAGAACTCATTGCTAATCTCTGTACCTTTAACGAATTGAGAATCGATAATACATTTTTCGACCATAAGCTCCAGTATAAATATACATTTGAAAACTCCACGGGGCATAAATCTATGAACGATTTTATAGTCACTAATAGAAAAATCCACCCAAAGCAAATTCTAGATATCCGAACTTTAAACTCAGCAGACGCAGGGAGTGAACAAAAACTAGTACTAGCAAAGATAAGAATACAAATAACACGAAAACATTTTCTACAGAAAATCACCAAGTAAAAATTCAACGTAGAATCACTTTTAACTACTCTACAAGAGAAATGTACCAATGGATGCTAGCACAGAAGATACAGCTGAAACAAATAGACGACATCGAAGATATAAACGCGAGTTGAGAGAAAATTAAAAACAACGTTGAAAAAGCAACAACAGAAGCTCTAGCAAAACGCAAAGTCATATTGAACAAAAGAAACTACAATAACACACCATGATTTAGAAAAGAAATAAAAGAGGAATATAAAGAGAAACTGAAGGCCTAGAGGAAATACAAAACATCAAATACCCCAGAATAACGAGACACCTATAGAAGAATACGAAATGAAACATAGCAGTTATTAACAAGAACAAAAATTGAACACTGGGAACAGTTCAAAAAGGATGGAAAGCGACTTCTACGGTACACAAAAACAAATATAGAGATTCATAAGAAAACAAATGGCGGAAAATGGCAGAATTGAAGGAATACAATAACATACCAGCAAACGAATGGAAGAGATACCTA